TATAGAGGAATTACAAACTAACGAGTGGGACGCTTAGGCCGTTTTTATTTTCATGTTTTGTGGGAATGCGCGGCCTCCGAGGGATATTGCAGAAGCAGTTGCTCTTGAGTTCTGGCCCTCGTCATCATCTTCGGTTCTTATTTTGCAGCACCTCAAATGTTATCCATCAGGAAATTGCGTTTTACTTGTATTCCAAAGCGCAATTACAGGACTTGGCAAAGTGCCAAGAGGGCCGCACGCGACACGCGCGCTTACGACGGATGTTAGCATGAACGGGAATCTGCGCCGCAAAGGTATTGGGCGGAGCATGGAGGAATTAGCGTGTTTCACGGTCCTGTATCTCCATTCCTGCGCATGTGGGAAACCGCTACGCTTCGACAGCTGGCGGGCTGATACACACACACGAAACTATTTGTGGACGTACCATGTGTCTTCAAGTACACGACGTCGTGAGGCATGAACGCAGCCTAAGTTTACCATGTCAGGGCTTCTTGCCTGACAGTCAAGCGTACGTCGGGGATTCCGCGACAAGGGAAAGCATATTTGATCATTAGGTCGCTGGAGATAGAAGGTTGTACTTGTCTAATGAGAAAGTTCTTTAGAACCATGATTTTCCCGTTTCGGATCCCCTATATACATTCCTACATGGCGGCTCGGCCATTTTATTAGTTCTGATGTTTGACAGAAGGTGCCTAGTCCACCGTCATTTGACGCGTGTTGGGTGTTAAGGAAAAAGTTCTACGCCATGCTTGACCCATTGCACTGGTCTCTATTCCGTCGCTGTAATTATCGTTAGGAGGATTCGACATGAATCCTGGTTAAAGCGCTGGTTGCTGCAAAGGCAAGTTAGCCCTGCGAGGAAGTTGGGTGTCAATTTAGCCGCAGGAAAGTACCGGCGAACAAGCTTTTAGTTCGCTACCAGCTTGCAACCTGCAAGCGGCATTGCCCGTTTACGAGAGCGATCAGGGATTTAGCGGTATTTCAAAACTCAGTGAGCGCAGTGACTATTATGATGTGTCAAGTCTATGTGGAACAGCGCTCAGTTCCCTCCAAATAACTACATTTTGGAAAGTTCAGACTTGATCGATACGTTCTCATAAGGCTTGGCGTCTGACAGGCCTAGTACGACATTAGCTGTAGTGCTGGTCAAATTCGTCGCTGAACTGTCCGATGAAAGAAGAACAATTTGATTGGACTGTGTTCATGTTTTCAGCTTCAACAGCTGTCTCTCGGAAACTTTGCCGTACTACCTCATCCATCGGCGGTGCAGATCAACGAAAGCGACATAGCTATAGGAGCACTTTCAATAGCATATGGATCTCTTCCTCCACAGCTACCGAAAGGTTTCTCCCTTCGAGCACCGACGTGTATTGTTAACTTTTACCGAATAGCAAGGTGAGTTGTCGCTTTTTGCTCCTTAATAGTACAGTTTTTGTAAAGTTACACCAAGACTGTAGTCATATTTTGCGATGGGAGAGTAAGGGAACAGAAGAGCAGGAAAATCAGCAATTAGGCGTCTTTGGAGAATGCGCACCGAATTACTATACAGTCGATTTGGCGACATGGGAGAATCGAAGAATCGGCTATTTGACGTTCTGGAGGACGCGCGTTCTTCAAGTTGGTACCTACAAACTCCTTTGGCTCGTTTACGCAGTAACGTCTAGTTCCGAAATGTCAAATCTCCCATTCTCATCCAATCCTTCTCCCGTCGCGAAGTATGAACGCAGCCTGACAAAGTATTACTTGTCACTTGTATTGAATTTTTCCTGTCCAGCCGATGTTTTTTCAGGGGTTTACTAATAAATAAACCGATTCTCTTGGAAGGTGCTCCAGGTTGTGGAAAATCGAGTACTGTTATGGCTCTTGCTATGCTGACGGGGCATCCTATCACGAGATTGGATCCTTTCCTGACCAACGGCTTGGGGGTCGCTACTGTTCCAGGTCTATTATCATTCCGCTCTGGAAGGTTGATTTCCTGCAGGTCTTTCTATCTCTTCAGGATGAGTGATGCTGCAATTGTTACTGAGGATGGGAGTGTTTCGTTCCATTGGGAAGATGGGCCGATACTGCGGGCCATCAAGCATGGTGAATGGGTGTTGCTCGACGAGGTTCGTTTTGCTTTCGACTAATGCGTCGTATATAGCGAGAAGCTATTATAGCAATTTTTAAGATGAACTTGGCATCACAAGCCGTATTGGAAGGACTTAATGCTTGTTTCGATCACCGACGAGTGTTATACATCGCAGAACTGAATCGCAGCTTCGAAATCCCTGCTGAAAGCAGCTGTCGCTTTTTTGCATGTCAGAATCCACGAGCACAAGGTGGAAATCGACGAGCTCTACCGAAGTCGTTCGTCAATAGATTCACAAATGTAAGACCATTTGTCGGAAACCCAGAAAAATTCATAGGAAGGGGACTCTAATGAGAGGGTCTTTTACGTCGTGGGGCCTATTTTCGAGGCAGTTTCTTGCATTTTGTGGAGGGTCACAAAGCAGGAGTTCATTCCCGCTGCGCGCTTCTGGGTGAATCAAAGAGAGGGTGAACATCAGACGTCTCTACAGTTTTTATTTTCTTGTTTTCAAGTAAGTCGAAACTAATTGTCTGAAAAGAATGGGCTCGAAATCACCTGAACCTTTTGTCCAAGAAACAAACAAATGCTTTGCATTGCCGGACTCATTGTGAACTAAAACTTTTACTTGCCCCTACCTGGCACTCCTAGATGTGCTGCAAGAATGAATCACATTTTTGTGGGCCCCCCACATGAACCTCTATAAAGTGCATGTACCGTCTCCAAAATGAGCTCCGCGGTCGCTGTGAGCGGGTAACACCCATATCACGTATCTTTGAGCAGCGAAAATAGTACTTGCGTGGCTGTAAACCGGACTACTTTGCACAGGGATGGCGTCTAAATCGTGTGAACGCGAGGGTGCCTTCAATGGCTTTCTAGGTCGATAATCATTTCACCCAAAGAGCTAGGGGGAACCATCGAGGTATCTTCTGCTCAAACCAGGTTACCTCCTGTTTTGAGTGGCTACTTTGAAAGCTATCACAAGAACGTTGATATGGGCAGAGGATTTGGCAGGATTTCTACCGAATCCTCTGCCCATATCAACGTTCTTGTGATAGCTTTCAAAGTAGCCACTCAAAACGGGAGGTAACCTGGTTTGAGCAGAAGATAATGGTTCCAATGGTTCCACCCTAGCTCTTTGGGTGAAATGATTATCGACGCCCTCCGATTTGTCGTTTTTCATATCCTTACAGCGCTTATCATATAGCCTCTCACAAAAATACGGCTGAAGCTCATGTATCTTGCAGCAGTGCTTTCCAAAGCAATTTCCCGCTGCTCTTAGAGTTTAGGCCCAGTATTTATCAAACATCGTTAAGGTACTGGAAAAGTAAAGCCTGTTTTATTTCCTGGCCATCTGACAACCTGGAGGTTCATCATTGTCAAATGTTCAAAGCTCTCTTAGGGACAAGGGAGAACCCTTGTGTTTTCGTTGTTAGCCTTTTTCTGTGCTTCAGATATACGTCGATGACCTGAAGGACGAAGATGTTCTACAAATTCTGAGCGAGCTGCCCACAGCTGCAAGGATAAACAGCGAGCGATTGAAAGCGATGGTCTCCGTAAATTCTCGACTTGCATCCGATCAAAGTTTGATGGGAGGTCCTTTCTCCTTCAATCTTCGCGATCTGTTGCGATGGATCGAGCTTTTTGAAAAGGTTAGCTCCCTCTCTATAATGGTTCGGTGAGGGTTGGACTGGCGAGTCGTATTTTTTTGCAGAATAGTGAAATGGCAGCCTGCTTTCAACTTCTGTACTTGAGCAGAATGCGCAGAGAAGAGGATCGTGAAAAGGTTTGTTTCTCCAGCAGTCGCATTCTTCTTAGCCTTTAGATGCAATGGGGAGTTACCCTTGCCACATGTGTTGTTAGCGATTTTCAGAGTTAAATCGGTCAGTGATGTTATTGATATCTGCCCATAAGTGGAGCATTAAGCTGGCGACCCCGATTTTGATATGAGTTGAATCGACTCTGCTATTTTTTGAGGGCGCAGTTGGCTTGGTGGGGTATTTTTCCCGGTCCCATCGACCAACTCTGACGCCTTTTGAGAAAACCCATGAAGTCCTGTAGAGCTGTGCGATGGCATGAGCATCGTTTGCACTTGACAAGAGTCTGCAGCTATTGTCAAGCTGTTATCAAGCTGCTGCGTGTACCTTGACAGGAACTAGCAACTTAGCAGAGAAAATGGCGGAGTGCAAAACGCCCCCTTCTTTTTCCCCCCACCCCTTACCCCCGCCAACGGAGGTCATGCTCATTGGCATGTAATGTTAGCGCAATAGTCTTCAACCCTGAGTCCATACAACTGTCATTCTTCTGAGCTTAAATAGGTGCTTCCATCTTAATTTCAGTTGTTTATTCTATGTTGATTTTTTTCTCTCCATTGCAGCTGCGGCTTCTCTATCTGGAACACTTCAATGAACCGTGTATTACCCATCCAGTCGTGCTTTCGGTGGACGAAAAACGTTTACGAATTGGACAGGTGGGTTATTTTTTTGAAATTTATGGCTCCAGAGCATTCGTTTTCTCAATATTGTAAATATCTTCAGTTTGGTGGCGATAGGTGATACCAGAGGCATAGTCTACTGGGGCAAGTACGTACCCACTCATGAGCGTCGCAATCGGCGACTCATTTGCTGCCAAGGACATCGAGGCATATACAAGGGGGGAGGGCAAAAAAAGTCACTTCGACCGAGTCACATATCAGCAAAGTTTTTGCAGCCCAGAGAGAAGATGTGGATACGAGTACCAGGGCGGAAGATACCCAAGATGTTCCTCGATAAGCAGGAGCTGGTCCTCGCCCATCACCTTCATGTACACCAAAATATGAGGTCATCTCCAGTCGCAGCCTGACTGGAGAAGACCTTTGGAATTCATGTCACCTCCAAGCTGCGAAAACTTCTAGTGTGGAAGATCACCACGGTAGCTACCTGACGAAACTTAGTACTCTTCAATATGGAAGACCTCCCATTGAGCAGTCTCCGACAAGTCGCTGCGCGTCTAGCGACATCATCCTTCACCGGCATCGCCAACGGAGCGGTATGAACGGAGGTACCTGGAATGGGGAAGACCCAATAAGTATCTTTCCTTCGTGGACCACGCGACCTGAAGGTGGAGCGCTGGCGGCTTAACATCGACGCGACATCAGAAGAATATTCCTCTCCACATGTCGCCACCCCCCTACCTTTTTGCGAAACTTGTGTTAACGCGCTCCAGCATTAGAGTGTCACCACCGTGCGAATGATATGGGAGTGGTCGTTGAGAACTCTCGCCTACTTAGGAATAGAAGAGCGTACAATACTAAAGAAGGTGGACTCATATCTCACAGTAGGATTACCTGGCCTGAATTCCCCCCAGTTACCCGGGTTGCCCAGCTGGTGCACGATCTACGATGGCTCGTGAGAAGAATCGTCTATCTCGCTGAATCTCAATGCCACCCACATCCGCTCCGGTCGCGTGCCCAGAATGTCCCTGATGGCCGCTCCTCGGTCGGCGGGTCCGGAGAATAGCCACCCGGAGTTTTATAATAGTATTTAATATGCTCTTTAATATGGTGGTAGAAATGTCCGATTAGAATTTATAAAGTGTAACTTATAGCGCTACGAAAGTCAATGAAGAAAAGCGCCTTTTTTTTGGCCCCGCCCTCCTTGTATACACCTCTCCGGGGCGTGTATATGAGTAGCAGATTTTTGCAGGGATCAAAACATTCATTTGAACAACGGTGGCACCCGTAAGTATTTAAGGGCCAGTGTCCAAAAAAACACTAAACATCCCTGCGCGGGAGTAGGCGTACTTGGCCCACATCTCGGAGTATGGCTTCAACGGCGAAATGTTTCATCTTCTGCTTTCCTTGCTTGCATTGATTTCAACTGGAACAGTATAGCATTTGCATAACACAAAGTACATACATATGTAAAGATAAAGTCCTCGCCATTTATCAATCTCGTTGGGGATGCGGCCCGCGCGTTCTACCTCCATTCAAAATTTAGGTGGCATATGCAGTGCCCATATACTGTAATTTGTGGGGGGGGGGGGAGGGGGGTAGCCGATGTACAAGTCGTTTTTTTATACTCCCATAGGGATCTGGTACCAATTATTGTCGTGGAGGGTAGAAGGCGTGGCTGGCCTAGGCTAGTCCCGATCCGGGATTTGACTCGCGGACCGTGTGCGTGGTAAGCGTGTTACTTGCCTGCCTTCGCCTCACATTTGACACATATACAAGTAATTGTAGTTCGTACAAAATCTTCAGCGCATATTCAGTGGTTTAGGTTTCACTCCCTCGTAAAGGCTGCATTGATGTGGAATGTGGACGGCGACTGCTAGCTAGTCAAAGTACCTTGATGCACCAGCTGGCTGTCTGTATAGATATGCAGTGGATGCCGTTGATCATTGGGCCAAGGTAGGTGACCGAGGGATAAAACACAGCCGTTGGCTTCTGCACTGCCCTACCAGTGTTGAAAGGATGAACTTCAACTATAAAACCATCTCGAACCGGTTTCCTTCAGAAACTGTGGGAAGCGTTCCACTTTGGAAAATCTCGCTACGATCTGTGGTGTTGAGCTTCATACTATTGTACTCACCTCCGAGACAGATGCACAGGAACTCATTGGTTCATATGAGCAGGTCTGGCAACTGTTTGTGAATGCTGGTAACAACTCTTTTACTATTTTATCCATTTCAGATAGTCGACGATTCTGCTCTCATCGATGCCAAAGCTGCTCTGAGCGAACTCCTGGAGAAACACGTTGATGCTGATGTTCTGAATAAACTGAATGCAGCAGACGATGTGACACAGTTGGAGACCTTAGCTGAGATGGTGCTCATTGACTTGAAAGAGAGCCACAGCGATGTTGTGGATGAATGTCGTGAATTATTGGCTCACGCTGCTCGATCAGCAATGCGGTTTGAGTGGATCGACAGCCCGTTTGTGCGTGCTTATCTGGACGGCCACTGGTTATTGATAGAAGATGTCAACCTGTGCAGGTATGAGATATTTTGCTGCTTCTCCTTTGATGAGTACTACTAGTTTGACACTTTGATAAAAAATAACATCTGAGAAATTTGAGTAGCGTAGAGGCAAGTGGTGCGCTTGGTAGTATGCTTCTAATCCTGATTCTCGCCCTGACCACCAAGCCTTCTCCTCTATGGTTCTGAGGAACCGAAGCACTAATTTGAGTATCGGCCTACATAGTGAGCTTTTGTGTAAGCCGTATCCACTATGCCACTATGACTATGAATGGAAATGGAATGCCTGGGGCGTCCAAAAAAGGAGTGGATCACCGGGGAACGCTTCAGCTTTTATATTGGGAACATCCCCCTCTACTAAATAAATATGCTACTTTCCGCCGTGACTAG